ATAATGATCCAGAATATTTGGATTCACCTGATTAAAAATGAATAGTCATATATATTTTTATCATTATATGAAAAAGATAACATTAATTTTCTTTTTATTATTATTATTATTAAATTATAATATTTATTACAGTAATAAAGTAGTTTTTAAGTATTAATTTATTAGAAATAATATATATATATAATAATAGATATTTAATTATCATAATTTTTTTGATCATATATTTACAAATTTTTCCAACTTGTAAATATATAAATTGCTTAATACATTGTTGATCGGATAGATTAATAATTCATATCAAATATATTTAAAAAAGAATAAAATATTTCTTTTTGAAAAACTAAAAAAATATTTCATTTTAAATTAACATCAAACTAGAAAATATGAACTACTTTTAGAAATCCTATGTTTCAAATATATATGAATGTGTGTGTGTGTGAGTGATCCAGTCTTACTGGCCTCTGCTAAAGATCCATGATTTTCACACATATGACGGAAAACAGTGTAGATATTTTTTCTAGTTGCATTGACATCTCTATCTCATAATTTTGTTGTACTACAAAGATTCCGATCAGGGCTGGAAATAGGGTCTGAAAAAAAGGAAGTTTTTCTGAATGCTAAAAATTTTCTGGAAGAAAACTTTAAAAAAAGGAAAATTTTTGGGTGCTAAAATTTCTTTACTTTATTCTTCTGTTTTCACTTTGAAAAATTTTACCAAGAGCATCACTAAAATCATAACCAAATAAATCAGTACCTTCTAAACCAACCATCATTAACATGTGCAATGTGTCATTTTTCATTACATTACATTTGATAATATTCTGTTTGCTAAAACTTTTTTCACAATCTACACTAGAAAATCGAATCGAGTGCACTATTTCTATAAGCTTTAAGATATAAATAAGACTTGGAAGTTTGGAAATTGGAATATTTTTTTTTTGCCATCCAGTAAATATTAATTATATGTTTATTACAATTATTAATGGCCTTTTCAGAAGAATCATGCATGGTTATCCTTGCCTTTTCTAGAAGCAAAACATCTTTATGTTGGTTTGAAAGTGCATGAGTTGCTAGAGCAGTAGATTTTGAAGCATTCTTTGATCCTAAATATTAACATTATAACATTAGTAAATTAATAATTACAAAATGCAAAATTAATTAATTATATTTATTTGTTACCTTTTCCTCAAATTGATTTTTTTCTCCATGTGCTTTACAAATTGTGCAAAACATTCTCTTTGTTACTGCATCATATTTTAACCATTCATACTGAAAACTTCCTCCTGATTTTTTAAAATGCACTTTTTATTTGACATTTTAACATGGTTTACACTTAATTCAGTCTTTTCTTTTTTTATTTGTTTTTTTGAAGTATCATCATCATCTGAACCTTGAATTGTCAAATCATCTAAATCTTCTATATCTGATTCAACAATATTTGTTTCATCTATAAATGTTTCATCCCAAATTTCAGTATATAGTCAAATTATCTAATTCTTCTTGTTCTATACTATTTATTTATTTATAATTTATTTTTTGAATAAGGGAAAATAAAACATGTAAATATATATTTTGAAATAGATATTAATTGAGTCAATACTTTTCTTCTGAAAATTCAAAAGATAAAAATTGTGATTCTGGCTGTTCTTTTCTAAAATATTGAAGTAATGACATATATATATATTAAATTTTGGTAATTTTTTTTTATGCATGTGGAAAATCTACAAAAAAAATAAATATGAAAAGGAAAAATATCTGGCAACTCTTTTTTTTTCCGGAAGTTAAAAATTTTAAAAGAAAAATCCGGATTTTTAAAGTACTATTTCCAGCCCTGGTTAGCAACGAAACTTAAAAACTTGTTTATACAAGTTTAACAAACTTTTTTATTGGTTATTTCATTTAACATTTATGACACACTGATAAATCAGATATCCCGCCATGTAGCAAATATTTTGTCATTTCTGAAATAAATGCTAAAATCCGAAATATTCCGGAACTATAAATTGGATTTCGCCCACAGCATTACTTATGGTGAAGCCTTTTGACTCTTTCACAGTTAAAAAACACCCTAGTTTTGAACCAACACCAATGGAACCAGGAAATGAAATAAGTAATAATTTGTTGACTAAACTTGACTAACATATGACCAAATAGTAATAGTTTAGTCAGTTTAGCCAAGTGTTCATTTGAGTTGCGCAGCCAGCTTTATTTGGTACAAACTCACGTAAAACTTTTTTACATCATCTGTTATGTGAAATAAATCCAACTATTCTTATTTTGTTATTTCCGCATCTATTAAATAAATATTTTGTTGTTTTGAATAAAAAATTACACGTTAACTATAAAATTTGGTACATTTTTATTATAGGGTCGTGAAAAATATTAATCATCATTTCTATTTCGCTTTTATTTATTTTTACTTTTTAAAAAAATTACACAATCTTAAATTAGCCAATTTATTAATAAAATATTAAATCATATGACCCCTCTGTTTGGGGCACGACTTGATGCATAATTTGACATTTGAAAAATCAAGTCACCGTAGAGTTTTTTGAAATTGTATTCAGGTTCTATATAATATAGACAAAGTGAACATTCCCGGGAAAAACTGATCATCTTTACTGCTCTTCAAAGAAAATTCCATCAGTCGGGTGGTGTCAGATGAAAATAAATAAATAATGAGAGAAAATGAATATTAATTTATATTCATAAATAAATACAAGAACCCACATCATGTATTATTTTTTACCTTTATTATATATATTAATATGCAATCTTGTATTAAATAATGTCCATTTTGAAAGAAAGGAATAAAAAATAAAAATAATAATATATATATATATATATATATATATATATATATATATATATATAAATACAAAAATTCCATTTTAACTGATAAAAACATGGTATAATCTATCAAAGATCCAAAGTAAGAACAAATTGGATCATTAAAAACTACGGAAAAGCACATCCATTTT